AGTATTTTTTAACAGTTAAACAGCATTATATTTGATTAACAAGCCAAATATATATTTTCAAAGCCTTATTAAAAGCCCCTGTATTTAACAGTGTGAATGCTGAGATTTACGAACCTCTGTGAGCCAACACTACTCCTTCAATTCTCAAAAGTAATTATAAAACAAGCAATTTGAGCCACAAGCAGCAGAAACTGTCGAGCTTGGGGTTTTTAACCATGCTCACAACATGGTTAAAAACAGCACAGTCGCAACCTGAGTGCAGCTCCCTCCCATATTCCCTGTGACAGGCCAGGCAGGACTGGGGTGCATCCCAGAGCATGCACAGCCCAGAGCCACCAACCAACCCACCCTGGGGACTGGAGACCCAGTGACACCAGGCAAAAGGAACATTTGAACCTCCTCAGCATTTTTCTGCAGCAAAGCCACACCTGGCAGTGTCAGCCCAAGTTTTCCATTTGCCAGTTCTCTCCATGGAGAGCCCAGGGAAGCAAAAGCTGGGGAACAACCAGAGCCCACCTCAGAATCATTCTGTGATGGAGCCAGGAAAGCAACTGATGGCTACACCCAGCAGATAGCCTTTGCACAATGAGAGAAAAAGAGTGGGTTTTTTTAAGGGCTGAGTCATTTGGTTTGTGTTTTATTTGTTCACTTTGAAAATTACATCTAAAAAGCTTGTCATGCATCATGTAATATTCACTAAAAATCTGTGACCTCATGCAGAAGCAAAGCTATGCAGATATGTAAGCTCCCAGAAAAACAACTGGCTTCCAGCACTGGAGGTATCATCTCCAAAAACATCTCTTACAGTTAAAATTACTAAGCAGATAAAACAGCTCTTAGCTACAATACAGAATAGGCCGCTGACTTAATGGATGCCATCACAAATCACAAGCACTAAGGCAACACAAGACAGTAGGGGCAGCTGGCTAAACTAAACTTTGAAGTCCTTTAGATAAAATGTCTGAAATACCAACTCACCTTGAATATGAAATGCCAAATTCCCTGAAGAACATGTTCATATCAAAATCTGAGACTTCTTCAATTAGGAAGGACTTCTTTGGATAGCAGAAATGAATACATCCTTTTACCCACTATATTGTGCAAAATTCCCATTTTGACAGAACAGTAGGTGTGATGAGAGGTAAACAAGTGTACAGATGCGCATTGCTGCTAAACTGAAACTGTGTTAATAATTTAATGCATTAATGAATATTAGGAAACAGAATTACAACTGACCAAATGTATACATTTCAGATGTGGCATTGCCTTTAAATTTGTACTGTGCATAGGTAGCTGTGCATCCATTTACCCCTGAAGCTAACTCATGTTTCTTGTGAAAACTAAAATTATCCAAAAAGTATGGTGTGGTATGCAAGGAATCTGAATTTTTATCAATTTCTTTCATGCCAATGATAAATCAATGTAAAAAGTTTCTTTTGGCTGTATATATTCTTAAATATTAATAAAGATAAGAACGAACATTCCAGGCACAACACTAGCTTGAACTATGGGAAACACAAATTCCTCACATACTTGCAAGTTGATAATTCTCCATCTTCTTTACTCCTCTGTCAGTTATTAATAAGATAAAGGGCTGAGACACCTTTCTTCATTTCCAGTAATTGCATTTATTTTACAGCAATGATTTTTTTTCCCTAGTAATAGATTCATTAAGAGTAAGTAAAGTGCAAGGCACCAGCTGGTTTAGCTCCTTCAGAAAAGGATCTGGACAGTATAAGACTTCACAAGTTTTATAGAAGTCAACAGTACCATGCTATTGTGAAAAAGATTGGACTGTCACATTGCAAAAGTAAATAGATTGCAAGGCATGTCATGGAATAAACTCTACATAGGATTGGCACCACAGCTTATCTGAGTATCATGCTCACCTTGGACCACTGCCAATGAAGAAAGGCAGAAAACAGCTGGAGATAGGCCAGAGGAAATAAAAACAGCTGGAGATAGGCCAGAGGAAATAAAGAATGAGAGAAAATTTGGAAAATGTGAGCACTAAGGTACCATTGAAAAAATAGCAGTTATTTAACCTGAGGAGGGAAAGGCCAAGGAAGATATGATAGCAGCTTTCCATTAAGTTAAAAAAGAAAGGAATAATCTGCTTTTTGTGCCTATAGGACTGGACAAGAATTAATACTTTTTTGGCAAGAACATTTCTACATAGAAAGAAAGTGTTTCTTATATTGAGCAAATTGCAGTGTTAGAATAGATTTCTGCTTTCTCATTGAAACTCACTGAAAGTGTCTGAAAAAGATAAACATCTGTCAGGAATGGCAAAAATAGTTTATTTTGCCTCTCAACAACAGAATGGACTAAAAAGAGATCCCAATGCCCAATTCTATTTTTTGATTTTTTGAAAGCACAGCACTTCAAAACAGCAAGCTGGACATTGGTTTTCAGACTACATAAAAACACACCTTTGTCTTAAAGAAATTCATACTTTTCAATGCTATTTAATACAATAATGATAGCAATTACAAAAATGAAACCACATTAAATAGCATTTCTTCTGCATGTATTTATATTTTTCCTGACTCCTACAAGTTTAATACCCCTTCTCTATTCTGAAATCTGTTTACTTACATTTCTACAATATAAAACAGTAATTGAAAAATAGGTATTTTCTTTCTATCTACCGGACCTTTCAAGAAAACAGAGAATGCAGCCAAAGAAAGAAAAGCCACTTACAAAATTACATTTAACACAACTTCTATTTTAGAATCATAGAATGCTTTGGGTTGGAAGGGATCAAAAATACCATTTTGTTCCAACCCCTTCCTGCCTGGGGCAGAGCCACCTTCCACTAGACCAGGGTGCTCAGAGCCCCATCCAACGTGGCCTTGAACGCTTCCAGGGATGGAGCAGCCACAGCTTTTCTGGGCAACCTGTGCCTCACCAGCCTCATTGCAAACAATTTCTTCCTCATAGCCAACCTAAATCTATGATATCTCAGTTTAAACCCCTTTCTCCCTGCCCTGACCCCATAGGCCTTGGGAAAAAGGCTTTCTCCACCTTTTTATAGCACTCTTTACATACTGAGAGGCCACAAAAGTCTCCTCAGAGCATTCTCTTCTCCAGGCCAGACAAGCCCAGCATCCCCAGCCTGTTTCCATAGGAAAGGTGCCCCAGTCCTTGGAGCACCTTCGTGGTCTCCTCTGGGCTGCTCCAGCATGCTTCTGAATTTCTTGTTGTGGGAGCCCCAGAGCTGGGGCAGCACTGCAGGTGGGCTCAGTTTTACCATCTGTTCTATGAAAAAGGCAATTTCAATAGGATATGATATTTAAGGTGGTACTCAAAGAGCATCAAAACAATCTTATAAATGTTGAATCCTACTGTTTGGACAATAGGGTGGGATAGATTTCATTATTAACAGCAATTTCATAAGTTATCCAATATCAGTTAATTTGCTTTGACCAGTCAAGGTACTCTAAGCAATTACTTGGCTGACATAGAACAAAAGATGAACTGAATTTACATATGAAGTGTACACAATATTACTCTCACTCTTGCTAATATATTGTCATCATGAGAAAGTAAATGAAGGTATTAATTTCATTCATATTTGTGTTTTGGAAGTGTCTGAATATGCAAAGCAACATCACAGCCTCATCGTGCTACAATGTAAATAAATACAGTATTTCAAATAGCACCTGCTTTTATCACATTCTGTTATTACCAAAGTATGTAAAATATGAACATTACCTTTCAACTGAATGTTTTAATTTAAAAATATAATTAATTCCATTGTTCAAAAACTGGAATTAAACCATCATGCAATGACTCACAATACTTCACAAATAATTTGATGACTGTTACTGATCTTTTTCATTGCAGAGAAGTTTAGCACAATAAATTTCCCAGCTTGGCCATGATTCATTTCTTAAGCCATTTTTTCATAGAAAAATGCAAAAACCCACATAACTATTGTGAAATATCACCCAAACTATTTTTAAAATACAGGACTATTGTCTGAGCATTCAGAGATACACCTTTAAAAAAAGATACCCTTTATTATTCACTGCATTATTTGCACTTTTTACAAAATGTAATCACTGGAATTAAATAACTCAATTTAATATTTATCCAGGAAGTGGCAGACAGTATTCTATCCTAAGGGACATGAGTCTTTATAAAAAGCTCATTTTACAAGACACTGGAGCATTTTTGGCATTACCAGCACCTCTCACATAAACCATGCTGAAAACTATAGTTTATCCTGCCAAATGACTTTTCTACATATGGTGTTTAACAGTGTTCTGTAGGTCTGAAAGCCAGTAATAAGAGAATTAAGCTAAAAATCTGGTAGCACACAAGTATGCAACACAAAAAATTAAACAATGCTACATTTTCATGGATATATTTACCTACATGGCCCACATGCATATAAGCAATTAAAACGACTCTTTAAATTAATGTGCTAACTATAACTCCTGTAAAAATGCTTTCTCTTTCAGTTTCCAGTAGCTTCCTAAAGTTGTCCTATTGACATCAGAGGCAAAATTTCCATTAACCTCAGCAATATAGGATCAGGCCATAGGAAACCCCAAGTAATATATTTAAAGACAGCACACACACATTTTTAAAATTCTTTAATTATGCAAGGATGGCCTTGACTCTTTACTGGATTAACTGCCAGTAAACTTCTAAATTAAATGTTTAAATGGCATATTTTAAATACTACATCATAAATACATAAATACTATCACATAAATAACAACAGCATAAAATCCAGTTATGTACCCACATGTGGTTAAAGATGGACCTGATGAAATTTTTATTGTAGGCAAGAGCAAACTTCACAACCTTTTTGACATTTAAAGTTTGATCTGAAGTCATACTGTGACTGAAGGGAATCAGCTGAATTTGTTAAGTAGTATTTAACATAAGTCTTCTTTAGAATTAAGATACTTCATAAAAAGATGACTGATAGAGTTAAAAGTGTTAATATATTGACAACAAGGTAAAATAATGCTGAAAATACTCACCACTTTCAAAACAGGCATCAAATATAAGATGTCCTCTTTTAGGCTGCCCACAGTAACCAGCTGGGAGAACAATGTACTTGCTCACGTTCCCTGCTATGATATCATCGCTTCCAGTGGAACTGCCTGTTGCAGCAAAAGTGAAAAAAAAAAAAAAAAGGCAAAAACAAAATAAATTTAATATATAAAAACCAGTAGAAGGCTACTTCCCCACACATTTCTACATAAAATAAAATGTGCAGCATTTAACATCTGCACCAGTAAATTAATTCTCTCTTTTCGAAGTGTATATAAGAATTTTGATACAATAATGGCATCATCTGTTAAAGCCTCTCTAAGGAACAAACCACCCCACCTGGTTTCTTGCATGTTTATGACCTGTGGCTCTGCCCTTCAATATGCATTAGCCTGATATTCAGCTGGATCAACTTCTTTCAACAGGAACTCTCTAGCTCTAGATCCTGCTGGATTCCCTGGAATTGAACTCCTCATCAGGTTCTTTATCACAACTCTCAGAAGCATCTTCTTCTCTATCAGCATTAATGGGACCTTCTTCCTCTATCCTGCTGCCTATTTTCATGCATCTTAAATGAACTCAGAACCTTTGAGACTTCAGTGCCACTCATATTTGAAATTTCAGAATTAGAAGGAAGAGACATACACTCATAGAGTCATGTGGCTACCCAAGCCCTCCTTGTTAAAAAACAAAACTCAGAAAAAGAACTTGAATAATTATTTTTTTAATGGGACATTATTTCATGGTAAAATATATAAGGATATAAAGTTTCCACACAATGGCATGATTTTTGTCAAAATACATCACTAGTGAATACACTGAAAGCTTTATCCTTACTGTAAAATTACAATAACAAATTGCAGTCTGCAAAATATTTGTTTTGTCAAATAGGGATAGAAGAGCACTATTTTTTTCTCCATTTGAGATATATACAAGAAAGCAATCAAATAATTGTATATTGTATCATACATTTATATTATAGTGTGAGAAACATTCAGCACTTTCTTTGCTACTTACAGCTTGGACAAGTAATATTTAACAATAGAAAAACTATCTTCTGTATTATAGAAAATGAAGAAATGGTATGGCTTCAAGTGCAGAAGGCATGTGATGGGATAATGGGATGATAATATCTTATTTCACTCTGATAAATAGGGCTACAAAGGCTTCTAGAAATAGACTTTTGGTCTGTACTGATTTTTTTGACATTTAAATGGGTTATGGGGGATGATAAATGTGACATAAAGCTCAATTTGTTTTATTTTTATATTGAAAACTATTTCACACAAATGTTACAAGCAATTCATATTGTCCCTGAATGAGGAAAACAGCTTATTAATTAAAAGTGACCTTTCCATACATAAAAGTATTCTACCTCTTGAGGCAAAACACCTTAGCTAAGGTAACAAATTATATCAATGTATTAGTGACACCATAGTTAAAGGGTCTGTCAGGCTTTCTATCATATGCCCGTATTTTTACAAGTACATAAATCCCACATTAAAAAAATATGCAAATCCAGGTCTATATTTGGCAAACGAATCCCCAGTCTTCCCTAGGAAGAAATTTGAAAGAAACTTACTCTCTTTGGGAAGTACTACAACAGAACAAACAGAATTTAGACCTTTTTTTACTTTATCATATCTAAAAATGTAGATATTTAATAATGCATGATAGTATTTTTTAGCAAAATTATTTTATTTATAACCTCCAGGTTATTTGTTTTAGACTGAATAATTACCCACAGACAGCAATCTGTGGCATTTAAATTATTTTCTTTATGTGTATAATTGATACTTAGGATATTTTAACTGGATGATTTTTACCAGCGTGCTAGTACAATTTGCTTAAAGCCTGGGAACACCAGAGGCAAACTGAGGCCTGGATAGGGCATCTGTGCATCTACATGGCTGTGATCCTGTCCCTTGATAAAATTCACCCCTCTGCATTGTGCAAGCTGCAGTGCAGAGCAGCAGCCAGAGGAAAACCACTTCCTCAGTTTCACCTGAGTTGGACTAATACAATATATTAGTTAAATATATTAATATAATATTAATATTAATATATTAATATAATCTGTTGCAGTTAAGATTAGTCAAGTTGGTCATTTGCAATCAAACATTGTGGAATTAAGGAAACAAAAAAAAATTAGTGGAAAACCTGCAAATCACCATGAGTGCTTGAGCTGCCAGGGACCAAAGTGAAGGAGCCACCTGAGTAGAGCTGTTTGAACTCCTCTTGGTAAATGTTCCCTTTTAAGTCTCAGCTTAAAGTAATAGACCTCTTAGAAATTGTGAAAGATAACTGGGAAACACCACTTAAAGATGAAGAAACTAGAAAGGATTACATTCATAGCACTGGCACCATAAGACAGTGGAAGAAAAGCAGGCAGAAAAGAGATTTACATCTCCCTGGCAATTTAGAAAATCTGCCAATGGAGTCTTTACACAATGCAGAAGGAAACTGTCAAGTAACTGTGTCCCAGCAAAAAGTTTCCATCTGCTCCTCCTGACCTAATGTAGCCCTCCAGGAATGAGAATAAAATCATAAAATAGCCTGCAATTCATAGTCATTCAACAATATTACTCTCCTAGGATGTTCTTTATTCCACAGTAATTAGAATATTCAGAATACACTGTTGCTATATTTTGAGTTATATTATCTTTAATCTCTAAACATGCAAAACTGCTGTCTTTGAACTTTACATTATTAAACAGCACAACAGCACCATGTCCCTTCTGGCATGTTCTCCTTGGGTGATAAAGAAAAGGCCAGAGCACTGCCCAAAAAAGAGCCTGTATGAGTCCATTATAAACCATGGCCTCACGCCTGTGTGTTCACACATCACCACCCTCAGATGGAGAGAACAGCTACCCTGGGCTCCAGTTCTCTGGCCAATACAGAGATCCTGGCCCCACAACTGGGGAGCCCTAAGCAGCTTTTCCTGGCTGGAGGCAAAGATGTATGACAGAAACTTGTGGGGAAGGGAAATAGCTCTTCAGTCAGAAACAAACTGAAAGGGAAAGAAGAGAATTAACTGAAGTATATCCTGTACAGTCCACTTAAGAAGACCAGATTCTCCTTTGAAAAAAAGGTTAGATAAGACAAGCAAAGGCAAAACCTAGAAAAGAAATTGTCTCAGAATGTAGTTCTTATTTTGTCAATTATTTTTCTTATGGGTTGTAAGACACATAGCTATTTTATTCTAATTCTTCACAGCTTAAACTCCAGGAGGCTTCAGCAAATCCCTAGGATTTACTTTTACTGCAGTATTAAACTTTAATAGTAATTTTCTATCAGGTATAAAATCTGTGGGTGCCTGAAATCTCTGTAAGAATATAAGGCTTTAAAATAAAACCTGGGCAGAGTCTTCTGGTATCTGCATTCATCACTATTGTCATTGTGGATATATTTCACATCAAACTAGTGAAAATGAATAGAATCAGTTCCAGGAGATGGGGATTTGTGGGAGGGAGAGTTTGGAAATTTCCAGAGTTTCTTTGCCCTTCTTAAATTCAAAGGGTAAAGACAACTTTTCCTTTTTTTTTTTTTTTTTTTTTTTTTTTTTTTTTTTTTTTTTTTTTTTTTTTTTTTTTTTTTTTTTTTTTTTTTTTTTTTTTTT